TTATTTGCCAACTGACAAAGACTATACAAAAGTATATGATAATTTTATCGAATGTCTTAATGTTTTTCCTGAAAAACCATTCGATAAAATTAGTTGTAAATGTTTTGTTTGTATTTGGAAAGAGTTATTACTGTATATTAAATTTATGACGCCTGGTACAGATTTATGTAAAACATGTGAAATGTTAAAGGCTGAAATTCGATGTGCAAATTATAGTGAAGAAAGAGAATTAATTCAAAAAAGATTAGACGATCATAAACAAAAAACAGAAATAGAATAAGATTATTATCGTAATAATATTTTAACAAGTACAATCTTACCTAATACAGCGCATGTATATTACGATTGGGCACAAAATGTTCCAGTGCCTTATTCTCCTCAACAAATCGGTGCGACATATTTTAAATCTGCATTTCAGACTCATTTTTGGTATTTGTAATACTGGACAAAATCCAGCTCAACAATTAAATTATATAATTGCTGAGAATGAATTTCCACAAGGAACAGGTAAAGGAGCTAATACAACAATTAGTCTTGTTTACAATGGGTTGCAACGATTTCATAATCACGAAAAACATTTAAAAATAACTTGTGATAATTGCTCAGCACAAAATAAAAATAATCTCTCATTATACTTTTGGTGTTGGTTTACGTTAGTTGGCATGTACGATACGATTGAGATAAATTTTATAGTAACTGGACACACAAAATTTTTATGCGATAGATATTTTGGTAACATTAAAACACTTTTTCGAAAAACAGTTATCAACACTGTAGACGATATTCAAAAAGTAATTAATAAGTCTACAAAAAATATCACTATCTTGAATGGGAGCTTTCAGGCGAAGTATAAAACCAAGGAACCGAAATAATTGAAACCTATTTGGCAAGTCCTGAGCAAGGAGGTAGTAGAGATCTTCAACGATACTGCAGAAACCAGAATCCCGGAAACCGGAGACCGAAGAACTGGACGCAATAACCCCAGGGCAAGAGGGGTTCACCAACCTGGCCACCAGAGTTGTACCGGAGGAAAAGGTCCTATGCTATAGAATTAGGAACCAAAGGAAGGGAACTATAGGGCACCTAAAGCCTAGATATACCAATCTATCTGGGCTAACTGGTTTGGAAGTTTGGGAGGGATCGGTATAAGGACCGGAAGGAAGGTGGATGTAGGTATTGGAATTGAAACAAACCTTGTAAGGGCAGGAGAACCAGGAATTGTACGGTTTAATGGTTAGCCCTGACCGCTAGTGTTGGCCTCGGCCATAGCAGACAGGTTCTCTGAACCTAATCTGGAAATATGTGGGATATAGAAGGATTAGGGAGGTACCTTTAACCTTACAGTCAGGTAACGTACTCTGAAATGTGTAATGGCCTGACAGATGTAGAAGAAGAGAGGCAAAATGTTGGGTTAGACGGCACTTAGATATACGGGAACCAGGGGTTTACTTGCCTGGTGTAGTATTAGGATCA